GGGGAGGAGAGCCTGAGGAAGGCCAGAGAGTGGGGGAGACCCAGCCTTGGTTTTCTCAGCCCCCTCAGGCAAAGCAAGCCCTGCCTTACCAGGAGGGGGCTGAGGAGGCTGGTGGGAGGGGGTGCAAGGCTCTTCCCTGGAGACTTGGATCCCTGCTACTAGTAATTTCCAATCTTAAAATGCACAGCAAAGGTATGGCCTCCTTGTTAGTGCATTCATCAGCAGTCAATGGGTTGGGCTCCCATGGGCCACATGGAGGGGGCACAGGAGCCTCAGCCATGTAATGCCAGCCCCCCTGGGAAGGACCCTGCAGAATGATGATCCCGGGCCAGAGCACCCGCGGGCTCAGGCAGGGGTGCTGGAGGCAGGCGGGGTTGGCCGGGAGGGCTGGTCCAGGGCCTTGGAGATGGGACCGGAGTGGAGAAGCAGACTCAGCCGGGACCCACTCCAGGGCCCAGGGGGACGGGGACGCTTCCATGGCCTGGGTTCCCTGGCATCTGAGCAGTGACGAAGGATGGAGAGCAGCTCCAAGCATTGGCTGGGCTCCTACCTCCTTCTGGGCCCCGCCCAAGAGGACAGGCAAGGTGGCTCCTGCCCTGGGTCCTGCCTTCACCCCACCCCTTGTTATCTGACCCCCTCCTACCTGCCAAAGTGTGTTCACGTGCCGGCTGCTAAGCTCACACCTAGATTTGGGGGGCAGTTGGCTTTTTCACCCAAACCAGGGTCTTCACCCGGTTTTCCCCTGTGCCCCCAACATCCCCTGGAGGCACCTGTTTGAGGAAGGGGTGTTGCTCTCTGCGTCCCCCCCCTCCCCTTAGCTTCTCTGGGGATCATTTCAGATAACCCCATCCCAGAACCTTAAAAAGACAGGGCCACAAAAGCAGGCAGAAGGGCTGTCTGTACCACCTCCCCCCCCCGCCCCCAGGTCATGGGACAGGAAAACCCTCACCCCCACCCTCAGGGTGATCCTGAGGACCAGAGAGCTTGAGAAGAAGCGCTTTGTCAACTCCATAAGCTGCACAAATGTCAAGTGGCATTAGCTGCCCAAGCTCACCCCATCCCCATGGTGAGCAGCTTAAGGGAAGGAAATGCCTTTGTCTTTGCAGAACCCTTGAGATGGGGTGGTTGGTTTGGCCCTGTGTGTCCCCCAAGCACAGGTTCATGGCCACGGCCCCACCCCTTCAGCACAGTGAGCTTCGTGAACTCCCTTGAGCTAGGAGGGGAACCTGGGCTCCCTCCAAGTGGCAGGGTGGGGGCTGCCTCCCTGGGGCAAGGTCCCTGGAAGACAGCAGCCTGGGCAGGGGTGGTCAGTGGAGTTGAGCAAAGGGAAAGGGAGTGTCGGGTTCTGGAAGGTGCAGCCAATGTGGGTTGGGCCCTCCTCCCAGCCCTGGGTGTTGGAGGTTCAAGGCAGCAGGCAGGTTCTGCAAGAGTCAGCTGGCATTTGGGGTCCAGGTTCCTATGCCCTCACCCTCCTATCTCTCCTGTGGGGCTAGGATCCCCGGGCCAGACTGAGGTGGGAAGTGGGGGGCTGGAAGTCAGACCCAAGCCTCCACATGGTTGGCATGGGGGTCATTGACTCATGTTACAAAAAGGAAGCAGGCTGAGGAGGTGTGCCAGCCTTGGGCCTGGCCTACAGGTTGCAGGCTGCCCGGTGGTCACGGTGACTGAAGACACTGCAGGGCTGCAGAGAGCATGGCCTGGCCCGGAGAGGGTCCCCACAGCTGCTCTGCCGCCACCACACCAGCACCACAGAGGTCATAATTGCTCTGAAGTCGTAACCGAACCCAATTATGCAAAAACCAAATTGTGTGCAATGACTTTTATGTGTTGGAAACGTTAGGTCGAAGCCGGGTGATTACAGGGGGACGGGAAGCAGCTGCCACTCTCTGGGAGACCATAACTCCCAGCAGCTGGGAGCTGTCACTTATTTACGACGCCATTTCTGCCGGAAATGAGGGGTGGCAGTGGTGGAGAGGCCTGCCTGAGCCTGGGCAGGCAGTGGGGGCGGAGGCAGGCCTGGGAGCCGGCTGGGTGGCCAGCAGGAGGATGGGAGCAGGACCTGCCGGACAGTGGCTGGGAGGGTTGGTTCTCTCGTCCTGCACACTCCGGGCATAGCTAGCAGCAGGAAGAACCGGCAGAGCTGCCCCAGGCCCCCAGCTCTCCTGAGAGCCCGGGCTGGCCAAGCTGGAAGGGGAGGGCAGGAGGCCAACCCGGGCAGTGAGGAGCCTGGAGCCGGTCCCCCCAACACCGGCGCGCCTGCCGGGCTGCCAGGGGCAGCTGCCACCCTGGAAAAAGGCAAGTAATGACTACCGTCCATAATGAGGCTGCTCCGATAATGAGCATGGGCTATTATCCGACCACAGGCTGGACGCATCCGAAAATAAATTATTTTAAGGATCCATTAACGAATGCCTAATTAATGCCCAATTAGAGGGAAGCTACAGAGAAAACACTCCGGACAGTCTCGAGGCATGGCTTGGTTTACAACCACAGCCTGGGAGCGAGAGTGAGGTGGGGAGGGGAGGAGCCAGGCGTGGGCTTGAATGGCGGCAGCCTCTGTCTGGGAGCTTCATGGGCCCCAGAGCCCTGCCAGCCCTGGTCCCTCCCCCAGGCCTTTGCACACCTGTGTCCTCTCAGTGCCTCTTCACAGCTGGGCGAGGGACAACTGTTACTATTTAGAAGTGAGGGGTGTCACTTATTTGAGGATGTGGGAGGCCCTGTAAATGAGACATCTTCTGAAATCAACTTTGGTGTCATGCATGCACGCTTTGCTTGTTTGGGGAAATAATTTAAATAGACTCCTCAGAACTCCATGTGATATCTTTGCTTCGAAGGGACAGGAGTCTGCCCCACTGTGTGTTCACACAGGTAGCAGTGAGGAAGTGGCAGGACCTGGAGACTGGCTGCTGTGTGACCCCCACCCCAAGGGCTGACAGCCTGGGGAAGTGGGGCGGGGCTAGGGTTTAGGGGCGGGGCTAGGGAGAAGGTGTGGGAATCAGAGCCTCCATTCACATCCCAAGCTTACCTTACAGCCCAGGCTGGGGAGAGAACCCCAGTAGAGGTGGGGTGCCAGGGTGCGGGGAGCAGTATCTAGCCCCAGATGGGGGCTGGCTTGGGCCTGGCCCCTGCCTTCCTCCCATCAGGAGCCAGGCCCTCAGGGGGGCCACCATCCCAGACAAATGAGCGAGAAGCAGACGAGACGGAGCCCCAGCCGCCAAGGAGCGTCACGTGCCGTCCAGTCCTCCCCTCCCCGACCCGGTCTGCAGCCCCTGACCTGCTGTGCTCTCTCCCCCCAGGGTGCTGTGCGGAGCTGCTGCTGCTGCTGCTGCTGGCCGGCGAGCTGCCCCTGGGCGGCGGCTGCCCGCGGGACTGCGTGTGCTACCCGGCGCCCATGACGGTCAGCTGCCAGGCGCACAACTTCGCCGCCATCCCCGAGGGCATCCCGGAGGACAGCGAGCGCATCTTCCTGCAGAACAACCGCATCACCGTCCTGCGGCAGGGCCACTTCAGCCCCGCCATGGTCACCCTGTGGATCTACTCCAACAACATCACCTTCATCGACCCTCGCACCTTCGAGGGCTTCGTGCACTTGGAGGAGCTGGACCTCGGCGACAACCGGCAGCTGCGGACGCTGGCGCCCGAGACCTTCCAGGGCCTGGGGAGGCTCCACGCCCTCTACCTCTACAAGTGCGGGCTGGGCGCCCTGCCCGCCCGCCTCTTCGGCGGCCTGCACAGCCTGCAGTACCTCTACCTGCAGGACAACCACCTCGAGTACCTGCAGGATGACATCTTCGTGGACCTGGTCAACCTGAGCCACCTGTTTCTCCACGGCAACAGGCTGAGCAGCCTGGGCCGGGACACCTTCCGGGGGCTGGTGAACCTGGACCGGCTGCTGCTGCACGAGAACCAGCTGCAGTGGGTGCACCCCCGGGCGTTCCACGACCTCCGCCGGCTCACCACCCTCTTCCTCTTCAACAACAGCCTCTCCGAGCTGCAGGGCGACTGCCTGGCACCGCTGGGGGCTCTGGAGTTCCTCCGCCTCAACGGCAACGCCTGGGACTGCGGGTGCCGCGCGCGCTCCCTGTGGGAATGGCTGCTCAGCGGCAGGGCCGGGACCTGAAGCTGCTGAGCGCCGAGGACTTCCGGAACTGCAGCGGGCCGGCCTCCCCCCACCAGATCAAGTCTCACACGCTCACCACCACCGACAGGGCCGCGCGCAAGGAACACCACCCGGCCCGCGCCCGGGACAAGAGCCACCCGCACGGCTCTCGGAAGCCAGGCAAGAACTGCACCAGCCACAGGAATCGCAACCAGGTCTCCAAGGTGGGCGCTGGGAAGCAGGCGCTCGAGCAGCAGGACTACGCCCCCGACTACCAGCACAAGTTCAGCTTTGACAGCATGCCCACCGCGCGGCCCAAGAGGAAGGGCAAGTGTGCCCGCAGGACCCCCATCCGTGCCCCCAGCGGGGTGCAGCAGGCCTCCTCCAGCAGCTCTCTGGGGGCCTCCATCCTGGCCTGGATACTGGGGCTGGCGGTCACTCTCCGCTGAGGACCCAGGGCACCAGCACCCAGCACTGCCACGTGTCCACCAAGAAACAGAGTTTCTTTTCTTTTTTTACAAGTGGAGGGTCTGCTGGGTTTGAGGCAGAGTCTGAGGAAGGCTTTGGCTGCCGTCTGGGTCCTGCCTGGTGGATTATAAACCCAACGTGTACAGCCCCAAGCAGGAGGGGATTAGCACGCCTCACCCAGCTGCCCCGGCTGCCCCAGCCAGCCCCCTCAGAGCAGCCAGGACAGCATCCATCCAGCAAGGCGGTTAAGGCGCAGAGAGCACCCTTCATTAGCAGCCATGGGACAGTGCCCCGCGGGAGCTGAGCTCTGTGGAATCCTGGCCATTTGGAGAGGTCTGAAGGGCTTCTGCCCTTTCTGGAGGAGGCGGGACTCAGAGGAACAGATGATGGTCACCCAAGAGGCCGGGTTGACCGGCCGACTGGGAGCGCATGATCGGGTGTCATTTTGGCTTTCACCTGAGGCCACTTAGTCAACCTGCCCTGAATCTAACAGTGTGCCACCTTCCGTCCCTTCCCTGGGGTGACACCTCTCATTCCTGATGTCTCAGGCAACCCTGGTCCACTCAGCCCAGACCCTGGGCTCCAAGAACCAGTTACCAAAGGAAAGATCATCAGAGGCTGAAATTCAGAACTTCATCCCGTGCAATGAGGTTCTCACAGGAGGTGCAGTTTTATAACTACGTCCACTTATATATATACACACACACTCTACATATATATATATACACATACACACAAAGACACAGGTCCCTGCCCCACACCCTTACCAAACTGTATGTCTTATCATGTTTATAAACTATATGGAAAACTATATCTGCTGAACTGAGAATTGTATTGGTGATTTCTAGCAAGCAAAGAGTTATAGGATTTTTGTCTAGAATCCCAACCTTCAACAGCAGTCCTCATGGAACCTGGGCTTGCCAGGGGCACGGGCAAATGGTCACTGGGGAGGGTCAGCGAGAAGAGGAGGCGGCAAGAATCACTTCAGGGGACCAATATTCTTAGATATTTAGAGCATCACCTTGTTTTTATATGCAGCACAAGTCCATCTGCCGCCCGGAGCACCATCACCCCCACCATAGTAACTGTTGGCGTCAAGGTGAGATGTGAGAAGCAGCTTGTTGGACATCAGGGAGCCCGGTCCTGGGGACAGGCTGCATGGAGGAGGGGAAGCAAGGAGCTCTGGGTTCCTTAGGCCATTGGGTGAAGCAGTGTTAGTTCAATAGGCTGGGCAGTGTCATCAGCCCAGCGTTTGGCCAGTGATGGTCTGGACAGGCCAGGGAGACTCTGAGCATGAGCCCAGGCCTCCAGCTCACCTGCTGAATTGAGGCTCTTCGATGGGGTCCCAGCAAGGACTCTGTGTAGGATGACAGGACGGAAAGGACCCGGTGGCCTTAGCAGAAGGAGAACAGCGAGGGCATTTCCAGAACCATCTCAGGCACTTCTGCGCTATGGAGGCCCTGTCCCTACTGGTCCTTCTGAAGATGCGGGCGGACGGGCAGAGGTCAGGGAGCCAGACTCAGGAGTCAGGAGTGGGGACTTGCAGGGAATAAAGCGGGCAAGCCCAGGCAGGGGACGGGGGCTCCAGTCAAGGTCGGCCATGCTGCTTGCTGGCTGGGGCCTGGGTGGGCACAATCTCCTTTGGGCTTTGCACAAACCTGAATTCCCCACCAGAGAGGATGTGTATGAGGAGCAAGAAACACTAAATCCAACTAGGAGAGAAAAATAATAATAAAACACTTTTCTCTTGGACAAGAACCCTGTTTCTCATTTCCTAACCCTGCATTCCTGAAGGGGTGCAGCTCCCAAGCTTTTAGGGTGGGCGAGCCTGGCTGGGCACTGCTCTGAGACACAGCATGTTTGTTGGCGGGAGGAGCTGTACGGGGCAGGGGCACGCTGACTCACTGGGGTGCATGAGCACATGCATGTACACACACACACACACACACACACACACACACACACACTTGTTCTTCGTTCCATGGTTCTTTTCTCGCCCGCACAGAACATGACTCACTTCCCGTGCTCTGGCTGCACTATCTGTGGCTTTCCCCGGAGCAGGCTGGCTGGCTCCTTCCCGGCCTGTTCCCAAGGGCCTCACCCACAGAAGCTGAGCTATTGATTCTTAGGGGGTTTGGGGGTGGCTGGAAAGGAGCTGCCAGTTCCTGGGGCCCAGAGGGATTTCCAGGAGTCCAGGGGCCACGCCAGACAGCAGCGAGAGAGTTCTCAGGTAGAGGGAGGAGGGCTGTGTTTGTTTTTAAAATCCTCACCCAAGGATATGTGTTACTGATTTTAAAGAGAGGGAAGTGGGGGGGCGGGGGAGATGTATGAGAGAAACATCAAATGGTTGCCTCCCATATGCATCCCCACTGGGGATTGAACCCACAACCTAGGTATGTGTCCTGACGGGATTCGAACCGGCAACCTTTCAGCAACCTTTCGATGTATGGGACGACCTTCCAGTCAGCTGAGCCGCACCGGCCAGGGCAGGGCTGTGCTTTCAAGTCTGGACCAATCCTCTTCCGTACAAGGCTGGAAATGGGCACTAAAGGGACACCACCAAGGGCAGAACAAATTGTCTTTGGCCTGGGGTTGCTCCCCGATGGCCTGCTGCGCTGATCCAGGCCTGTGCCAAAGCTTGGCTGTCCCTTAGCACCCAAAGATGTTGTTGGGTTGTTGATTTCATTTCCAACTTTAGATAGCAAAGCCCTCAGTGGGAAAATCAAGAGTCCGAGTACTTTATTAAATTTTTTTAAAAAGACTGAGTAAGTCCCTGTAATATGGCAGTGGAATGTCAGAATGAGAAATGCTAATGTTCTATAACTGATCCGCTTCTGTCAAGCACAGCGCGGTCTCTGGTTGCCGGCGGTTATTAGAGGCAAGGCAAGGGGGCCCAGGACGCCAGGTGTACGGTTAGCGGCTTTCCCTAACAGGTAGAAGGAATGAAAGCAGTTCCACTGTGGATGACATCATGGTCACTCAGCAGGTTCCATGCCACCCAGTTACAGCACCATTGCCCACAACATCAGAGCAAGTGGACACATCAAGGGCTAAGGGGAGGCCCCTGTATTCACCAGCCCCAGCACCCCTCCTGGGTGGTTCAGGGCAGGCAGGTGTGGGTTCCTGCCTCTGGAATTCTGTCCTCCTCCCAGTGGCCGAGGACACGCCTTGGTTCCTGTGGGGCCAACCCTTCAACCATCTTCACTCAGCACTTGCCCTAGGCCCTGGGATAAAGCCATCTCCTCCCCCCCTCCCCTCCAGCCACACAGCCCTCCACTCTAAGGGGTGATCTGCAGGAGGGGCTGGGTGGCCACTGGTGGTCTGAGTCTCTCTACACGAGCTCCTCCCATGACCCCAGAGCGCTGCTGTCTCCCTACTCTTCATTCAACAAGTGCTGATCAAGGGCCTATGTGTGCCAGCCATTGGTCCGGGCTCTGGGGGCCTAAAACTGAGAGTACATGGCTCTCCTTCAAGGAGCTCAGAGCCTAAATGTGGAAACAAGTATGGGATTGGTGCAACCAATGTGGGATTGCTGCCTCTGTTAGTGCCTCCCCACTCCACTCCCTGCAGTGAGGAACTCACCTGGGATGGGGGCATTCAGGGAGGGCTTCCAGGAGGAGGTGACACTCTATGGCTCTTAGAGGATGAGGTGGCCAGAGAAGAACGTGGGCAGAGGGCTGGAGCCATGCAATAGCACCGCATTTGGGGTATCAGCCAAGAGCTGTAAGTGGAGGACGGAGAATGCTGTTTGGGGAGGTGCAGGAGGCGGGTCTGGCAAGGGGGAGGCCTGGGGAGCCGACAGAGGGACTTGGACTCTACTCTGGAAGTGGAGGTGTGTCCCCCCACTTGAGGTCCTCTTTCCTACCCCGCACCCCCACTCCCTCGCCAAGCACAGGGTTCCCACCAATGCCATGCTTGCCAATGTTCCTCAACAGTGAGTTTCATCATCGCAACTTGCCTCTTCTGCTCAGCCAGATCCTTTCCTCATGCCAGCAAGCCGGAGCGCTCCCTGGAAACCTGCCTGGGCCCGAGTCCCATCCCCAGACACCTGCTGCTTCCAAGCTCCGGAAGTGTCCCACACCGGCTCGTCCCGCGCTCCCTCCTTCCCCTCCTCAGAGGGCTCAGCCCTCTCCCTGCTTCCAAACACAGCTGCCCAGACACCCCTGGGCCACCTTTAATGTGCCCGCTCTGGCTGACTATCCCCGAGCCTCCCAAACTTCGTCTCCCCCCTTTTCTCTCCTGCTAGGGCTGTTCATTACCAGGGAGCCAGGAAGCCCATTTAGCAAATGTTTACTCATCACCTAACTAATCACTCAGCACTCTGCCACCATGGCACATGGGGCTCCAGAAGGCCTGTTGGCAGGCTTCAGGGGGCAGGAGGGCAGGAAGGCTTCTTGGAGGACGAGCTTCGGGCCCTGCATCAGAGAGAGCATTTGCTGCGGGGCAGGCTCTCTGGAGCCGGCTGGGACTTCAGGGCCTCAGAGCTCCCAGCAAATCCTTCCTGGTACTGTCACCACCACCCCAGGTTGTCCCCACCTCTGGGACCCAGCTCCTCAAGTTCCTACTCAACGCTGGCCTAGAGGAGGCCAGCCTTTCTCTGTGCACATTCTCTGATGACCAGGGGCGAGTGTCCGGGTTCCTGGCCAACTCTACTGTGAGGCCTCCTGACCTGGCTGTGAGCACCCGCCTTCTGGTTCCGCTCCCTGCCGGGATCTCTGGCCTCACCTTCCTCCTGTAGGAGTGGAGCCCGTCAGCCATTGCCCCATCCCCCTGTCACCAACACCCCACTCTCAGCTCCTAATGGGCCGATTTTCTTTTATCTCCTGTCTACTTGGAAAATATCTCAAGAACCTTCGATTGTGCATTAAAATGTCCTTTACAATTCTATGCTCAACATCTCTTTCTGCTCCTCAAGTTGTCCCTTTTAACTCATTGCGCTTTCGATCTATATCTCCTAGCCTCCCCCTTTGCAGGCTGTTAATAAATACACGCTCTTAAAATATATATTCACAAGCATCTATTGTTGGCTAAATAACTCACAGCGCAGTCAGGAAGCCGGGGCCAGGGGAGGCTCGGAGCGATGCCCGCCCACCTGCTCTCTCTCACTCGGGCTGTCTCCGCTTGTCTTTTTGAAGAAGGCTGGACTCGGGCTAGTTATGGCTCTAAAAAGTGCACCGGGTGAAGGGACCGAGGAAGCCCCCGGGGAAGAAAGAGAAGAAAAGAGAGCAGCTACAGTGCCGTGTTGACAGGTTCCCTTCAAGAGCAATGAGGGGGGAGTGCGGACGGAGGGGCCCTGTGCAGGGAGCAGTGGCGAATTCAAGTGGCATTGCAGGGGGCTGGTCCACGAGGCCCCTGACCTCCAAAGGCAATGGGTCAGCCTCCGAGATCCGCCACCAGCCCACGCGGATGCGGCCTGCCCCCCACCTCTCCCCTCAGCTCTCATTTCTCATTAGAGCCGCTAGTGTCTGAGCACCGGGAGGGGAGGGGGGGAGGCTGTGCCTTTTGTCACCGGTTCCGTGTGGCGGGCGGCGCGCACACTAATGGCTGCCCGAACGGCAAAATTTGACACCGCTGCTGCGGAAGGCGCGGGGGTCACGGTGTGTCCAAATGGGCTGAGGCTCCCCGCCACCCCCTCTTGCTTTCACCCCGGCATCTGGGGCGGGGTGGGGTGGGGGCTGCCAGCAGCAGCTCCTGCTGCCCCCGCTCAGGGCCTCAGAGCAGAGAGAGGAAGCGAGAGATGTATTAAACTCCTCAATCTCTGTAAGTGCCATTTCCCAGGGGACAGGCTCTAAGGAAGAAGGAAATGCAAGTGCTCAGGACCTACGCAGGTGGGAGGCCTCTGAGGCAGCCGGCTCCATCTCCCCTGCACAGACACACACACGCACGCGCACACACATGCACACATACGCACATGCACACGCACACTCGCACACGCGCGCGCACACACACGCACATGCACGCACACTCACATGCACACATACGCACATGCACACGCACACTCGCACACGCACACACGCATGCACACACACGCACACACGCGTGCGCACGCACACACAGAGTTTAGGGACCATCAGGGACAAGACATGGTGCCTGAGGAAGGGCAGCTGACTGGAGATGGAGAAATCCAGGTGGCTGCTCACCGCCCAGTCACCCAGTAAGCCTTTCTCAGTGATGAGGGGCCAGGCAGGCACACCCGCAGAGAAAGAGCGGCAAGGGCAAGGGGGAGCCTGGGTGAGACCCCGAAGAAGGCACCCATACGGTGCCGCTCGGAGAGGAGGCGCAGCCCCCCTGGGTGGGCAGTCTCGCAGCCAGTGACAGAGGCAGGGAGAGACGCAGACAGGCAGGAGGGTGCAATGAGGAGCGAGAGCCATTTTGCACACATGCGCACATGCGCACACACGTCTCTCAGGCGCTGTGTCCTGTCCCTCATGTGTGAGTGTGGGGCATTCACGCAGCCCCCAGATGCAGTCCGCCCATCATGGGCATGGCCCTGGCCAGCCCTGAATGCCGTGGTGAGCACGTGTCTCTCCTTGAGCAGCTTACCTGCCAGCCAAGCTCAGCCCCTTGATTTGACCACAAAGGCGGGGTCAGGAGAGGGACAGGGGCTCTGTCACACAGATACCCCGCCTCCCCCAAGGAGAGGGCAGTCCTGCCCTCCCCACACACGGGTGACCGCCCAGCCCCTGTGTGTGAGGAGGGGCACATTCCTGTCTGAGCCTGGGCCTCAGCGTTTCCCTCTGAACCTTGACCCCGACAGG